CCGATCCGCGTTCACATCCCAATCAAATCCAATCAATAGAGAGACTGAGACTGTTTAAATCAACGCTATACGTTGTAATTTTGCGGAGAACATCCCCAGCGCAACGAATATATAGTAATATAGTGTCCAACGGATTTTGATGTGAGGTACCCTTCAACGGTCTTGTCGCACCAAAAAGCGCCCGTCTGCGTTTTTTGAGAGTCATGCAGAATCGAGGACACCAAGTTGGATTCACCGACATGGCTACGGGCCAACAAGAAGAATTTACACGTGACAAGAAGAACCATGACGGAAATCGGGCACCTGTGACCCCCATAACATCCTTTAACCTTCCTTAAACGTTAACCTCTTCACTTCATGAGCCATTGGCCATTGTTTATTGTTTTTCTTTATGATTCTGTGACTCTCAGGCCTATCGGTGCCAATCGGTGGAACTGTGCCCACTTAGAGGTGGAAATAAAGCCCTCTGAGCTTCAGGACCAGCTGGAGAGCAGCCACTGCTTCACCCACCTGCAGAGCAGTGTGTTGGTTTTGATTTGGAAAATGTTTGATCTGGGATACTGGATGAATTGTGTGTCTGTGACGTGCACAACACTGGATACAACAGCAGCCTCCATAACATGCGGATCGACACCCTTCACTCTTCACCTTCACTTCGTTCGTGGATGCCATGGTGGCCGACTCAGAAAACATACATACGCAACATGCATTTAACTTTATCAAAATTAACCTTCTGCCTCCTGCTCTCCGCAAATAATTGCTTGGGAGTGCTGACAATCTTGGATTGCAGGATTGCAATCCAAAGAAACCATTGTAGTTCCAGGAGGTTCCCGCAAGCCACAATCCACTTGAAGGCCTCCAATGACCTCACTAACAGCCCAGCTTTCTCGCGGGGTAGCGGTTCACCGCCGAATTCAGCACCGAGTCGTGTCCCACCTCCTCGGTGAGCTCTGGGAGCGGTGTGAAATTGAAGTCCTGAGAGCACCACTGTGGAGCTGAGGTGATGGACGGGGTGTTCTATTCCTTTTCGGCGGCCTCTTGGGTGTTGGTTAGGGGATGTTAGGCCTCTTGGTGTTGCATTTGGGTTGGGGACACGTCCTGGGCCTGTGCTAAAACGCGCTTCCCTTCCCCAAAAAGATGTCTATCGGAGCAACGATATTACTAGCTATAGCAGCCAATGCTTACAGCTTGAGAACTGGAAACTGGAAGTTCACCAATGGGCACGCCCACCCCCCAAAAGAACAGGATGTTCTATCTGTTCCTGATGTGTTCCTATGGTGCTTGGCACAGTCTGAGATGACCGGGTGACCGGCTTTTGATCCCGTTTCACATCGGTCCTCCCCAGCATAAAAGAAGCACTTCATTGGATACATCTCTTTGGACCCAGTGACTGCACACCTGGCAGCGGCGATCGGGGAAAATCCATTGCAGTCTTCACTGAGAGCCAGTTTGCATGGTTCTTCTTTGGAAACGGTCTGCACGTGGTTGGCACATCTGTAGAGTAACTTCTGGATATGTGTCAAAGGACAAAGGATGAGACAGATTGGTCTCCTTTGTCAAATGATTATCCTTCGACTTCTGTCTATAAAAAATCTACATCTGGATTCAATCACAAATGAGGCTGCAAAGGACAAAGGACATCTGGTCACCAGAGTGCTCTGATTGTTTTGCTTCATTCCAGAGGCAAAATGTGCTCGAAGAGTGCACTGCAAACAGGTCAGGAGCTACGCAATGTAATAGTCAGCTTCCTGGTGGTGAGAGCAGTGGGGAGCATGGGTAACGAGTCTTCATGTTGACATGCAGTCGATCGAAGACATCGGAATATGTCCAATATAAAACAAAAAAGTTATTAAATGTATAAATATTATGCGTATTATGTTGTATTTATTTGTATAAATCCTCTGAACAAAACGGTTAAGACCTGACGAACCCACTTGACGCATTTGAGCTCATCTTCCGCCCACGTCGGTCATCCGCATCTGCGCAAATCCGTCTGTCCTTTCCCAGGATCTTGCCCCAGAAGTGGATCGCCTCAACACCCAAAGCGCAGTTCAAGAGTGGTCGAGCCCCCTTGCATTCATACTCTGGGCGTGCTCTGCATCAATATTGCATAATTGAATGAAAACAGCTCCTTTCGGCACCTTTCGTTGGCCTGGTTGCACATTTATAGGGAACGTCACATGCCTACGGATATAGACCAGAAAAAGACTCTGTCGAACTCTGACAAGGCCTTATCAGTTGCCAACATCCCCTACGCAACTATCCCTCTCCCCATCTGCTAGTCCTCATGAGTCGATCATGAGTCGATGGACGTCTGCAACAACTCTGCCAGCCTGGCTCTGGTTGGCCTTCAGCAGCATCAACCCCGCCTGGCTCTGGTTCGCACATCGGCTATGGGCAACTCATTGTCTCAGGATGGGATCGATCGGGAACGGCTAGGCGTCCTAGGCATTCACAGGCATCCACCGGACCAGGTGGCTGGGTGCTTCAGGTGGGTGCTTCAGCCAAGTTTGTCCAGGTACTTACAGTCAGATCCATGCTTAGAGAAATAACAAAAAAAGTGCACATATCATCATATATCTACAAACCTTTGAGCCTTTGAAATTAAACCACCTTTGAGCCTTTGAGATTAAACCACCTTTTAGCCTTTGAGATTACAATGTCAAGCTATTTGACTATACTTGTTAACACAAATGTTTTCTGTGTGGCTCAAGGCAACAAACGCATTGTTCTGGAGGGCATGTTGAACATCTGTGGTTTGAATATGCCGCGCCCCTTGAAAGACATGGAGTCACATGCACATTGATACCAGTTAAACGTCATAGGGTAAAGGCAACGCGAAATCCACAGGGCGCAATTCAAGCCCCAATCACTTCAACAATCAGAAGGACATCACCTTCTGGAATCCCAAACAACAAACAACCAGTTGAAGAGCACAAATATCCATGAATCAAACTCCATCACAATACTCATGCCTTACAGATCACACAGTGACAACCTGATAACCCCAAGACACTCTCCCGCCACCATTCTTGTCCTCTCCCGTCACCCTCCCTCACCGCTGCGTTGGACTCCGCAGCGCCCGCTGGACGGCTCCGCGCCTTGAGGCCGCAAAGCTCTTCGCAGCTCAAGACGTTTCCTCCAGAGCTCACGGCTCGAAGGCCTTGCTCCAAGTCCTGCGGGCGGCCGGCTGCCCCGGCGTCCCTCTTAGGCCGATGGGTTCGTTCTGGATCGTGGAGGGGGGGGTCCCTGGAATGAGCCTTTTTGATTCTTTTTTACGTTGCTTGGGATCTTGGGACGGTGAGATGGGAGGGCATTCAAGCGTCCATCCAAAGGCGGACGGCAACGGCGGCAACATAGCTTCCTGACAGTGAACAAAGGTGAAAACATGTGAAAAGGCAGAATTATATGCCTTGTAAACAACCTGCACTGAAAGGCAAAGCTGCAGTCCTCCAACTCCATGCTGTTGTAATTGTAACCGCCCATCACAGCTTCGACTTTTGCGTCACAGCTTTGCTGAGACTTGAGCCGTGTCTGCAAGAATTCCAGATTTGAATCTACTGCTCACTGGTCGGACTGTGTGCTTTGTAGAAAATGAGGGAATGAGCCCCCAATAGAAGTTTCTTTGGATCATTTTGGATCCATTCCCTCATTCCATGCCTTGAGCAGCAGTCAGTGGCGTGCTCAATTTGTTTGAACGTACCAGTAACTTGTGGTGCGTCTTCGACCAAGCACCCCGAAATGCAGTCGTGCTCCATCAGTCGTGCTCCTCAGGTCGGAATTGGCCGGCCTGTCTGCCATATGAAGCAAGGAAACGGCGTCTTCCAAAGGGCCAGGTCACACGCGTCCATATTTGTTGGAGGGACTCACTTCTTTTGGAGGATTTCTCTCCTTGGTGTCTGCCAAACAGCCCACCCGAAGCCCGCACGAAGACGATCCTTCTTTCGACCAGGCGTGATCGTCCGACCTCTTCGACTACACCCTGGACGAATCCAGTGAAACATCCACAATGTCAGCATAGCATTTGGGTGTGGCTTCGACTTGGACTTGCGGAACCGGAATGATATACGCAACATCTGCCCAAGAATGGGGATTCACCAATGGGGAAAACAAACACCCAGGGCCCCTAACCTATACCAAAGTGAAACCACATCTGGTCTGCTGGTTTCAGTCTAGCCATGCACATTCTCAAAGTTCAAGCTCAAGGACGACTATCTGCCACATCCATCTACCGAGGGACGACTCAGGGCCATGATCATGTCCAGAAAGCTTCTGTAGAGTAACATGTCTACCTCCCTCTTCTCTCAATTCTTCAAATCTAGAACTATTGACCATGCCCGAAGTGTGGTGTCGCTATCTGGGCCATGCGGCCACACTAGCTGGCACTCAGCTCAATTGCGATCGTTGGCTGAAATTTGATTACTGGCGGAGCGAGCGCTTTTCGAGCTTCTTGAAGACTTGTCAGTGTGGAATCAGGGTGACAAGGCCCGCGGAAGGGACTTGGAGGAGTCTGTGAGGACATGGAGGAGGGTGTGGCTTGTTACTCCGTGCTGTCCCACCTGAAATCAACAGGTTATCATGTAGAGTAGAAACACTCACAGCTGCCGGAGTGCTCTGCAGGAAGAACTTTCTTTAGTGCCGCTTGTTGTCAACACGTATAGTCGTACCAATTCTATCCAAATGTTTGACGACCGGGTTGAGAGCTGCTTCAGGCATTCTCAGCTGCTTCAGGTCTATAACGGTGAGATCGGCCAACTAAAAGACTTAGAAAGCATCGAGCTTCACCGTGCTTCACCAACCGCCTTCACTCTGACTACAGTATACAATTAAATATATGATGCATCAATCACATCTGCATCATGCACGTATGCCGGGTTTGCCTCTGAACCGGTGCAAATCCTCCGAGACCATGTGCCCAAAGCCCGGAAAGAGACACTTAGTAAAACCAAGCACCCTCAGCTCAGCAGATGAGGGCCATCACCACCACCAGCAAGTAAGCTCTATTCCACGTCTTGTAAAGGACAGCAACTCCCAGGCTCCGGACGGGGTGGATTTGGCTTGTCATTGTACACATCGATGACCTTGCCGTCATTGTGGATGCCGAAGGCAACCTCAGGAGCCATGTTTTCTGCATCTTTCTCTTGGTGCAAGTGCGGGTGGTCTAAATTGGTCTCAATATGTTGCCTCCACATGTTGTCTCTGAAACTTCACCTCTGGGTGAGATAATGCTACCTCTTTGCAACATGCTACGGTTCCTTTGATGACTTGTTGTGTACAATACTGATTGTCCTATAATGGTTCTATGACTCAAACAACATGCCCATCCCGTGCTGTACATGATGAGCAAAGCTGGCAAGCCTCGTTGGGGTTGTTGGTCGGTCCAACCTGCACAAAGCATACACTCTCATATCGCATCAAGGATGAATGGTGCGGAGAGTGGAGCTGTCAAAGCCCTCGCCAGCATGTTTGACGTTGGTGGCCCACCAATTCAGGTGCAAGAATAGCCACCCCATTTGGAGAAGGGTTCGTCGATTCATCTCTGCAAATGTAGGACAAATAGACTGAGCACTGGTACCACTAGTGTGTTCTTGTGGATGAGAAGTGGCCTGACAAAATCTTTGGGATTCAAAAGGATTGTGTCAAAATCTATAAATAGGGCCTTGACCAACAGTTCTTTAAATGGTACCTGCTCTATATCAGGTTTTCTGTGCTCTTGTGTCCAAACTAAACGACCAATGGGCTAAATGAAAACATGGCTTCGTTGCCCTAGCAAGCAGCTCCTCTGGTTCTTATTCTCCTTTTGGTTCCTCATGGTTCCTCTACTTCTGAAAGTTCAACGCTTCCATTGGCCCAGCTCGACTCCCCAGCGATCGACCGAGGGTCTCGACCGACCGACCTTGCGCCGGGAGAAGAGCTGAAAGTTGCCCAAGCCCGAGGGTCGGAGCCTCGGAGCGAATGCTCTGAGAAAGTCCAGTCGGTGACGGTCAAACCGAATGCTCAGTCCAATTCAGGTGTTACATGGTCCAGTCAATACATCCTTCAGGTGTTTCTCCAGTGGGTTTTCAGGCGGTTGTGTTTTGGATGGTCCATTCAAGCCATCTTTCCTGCCACGGGCCGGCCAAGGGACCAGCCAGGGACCTTCCGCATTTGTGAGGTAAAGATGTTGCCTCCCTCCCACCAGGGATTTCCTGGGTCTAAAACTGTTAAAAGGTTGTGGTTCTTGTATGTCTTGGCACGGGGTACACCACGTCACTAGGACCTACTTTGGTATATTAGATATTCATCGTCTGAAAGTTGTGGAGAAAATGATAATGGGGCCCATGTGTCAGCTTGAGAGAGATGTTCCAATTATCCCTGAATTAGATGAGGAACAAAACATATTAGTGCATGGGTAATGACTAAGACACTCGATGTATTCACAGGTTGGAATGTTGTCCGAGCCCGCCGAGCCCACATGCAAAAGCGTGACATCGTCGTCGTCAACAATCTGACTTCAACCATTCAAGGACACCAAACCGCTGAATCAACCCTATCATAAATAATAGATTTGCAAATCCTATCAACAGATGATCTCACGCCCATGAATCATCATCCCATATGCTCTCATCTCAGAGATCCAGCCACTAGCCACTCAGACTCCTGTCGCTTCAGATGAGTACCGGTGAGCCACTGGTCCCAGCAGACTCTGAGCACCTTCCTTCCTCTGACGAGCGACATGAGGCGCATCCCGGGAGACAAGGAAATCGAAATGTCCTGAGCGGCGTGGAGACACGAGGAAGTCCGTGTCACCGGGAAGAGATTGGCAGATTGGGACATTAGCAAGGTGAACTCTATTATTGATGATAAGCAACCTGTTCAAACTCTTGTGTTCACACAAGTATGTTTTTATGCAAAGAGTCCGGTTTAGGGAAAACAAACTGAAAAGACACTGTCAACAGAATAGAGAGGTTCTTATCACAGTTCCCTCGAATGCTTCTTGAATGTTCATTGTTCCTTGTGCCAGACAGCCCTGGGTCTGTTTCACAAAACAACACGCTCCCGGACAGTTGCTCTGGACGTGCCAAGTTGCTCTGGATTGCCGCTGCGGCGCCCTCCTCAACCTATCCTCAGCAGGACTGAAGCACTCGCGGCTGGGCAGGTTCACTGGGCCTTGCCAGTAGCTAGCCACATCAGTCCACTTCTGAAATCATATACCCATTGGGACCCATGTGTGAATTCATTACTTTCATCTGCTGAGGCTTCAGGCCATCTTCCAGCGCTGTTTCATCTCCTTGCCCTGGAAGATCGACGTGCGTTCTTCGTTTCAGATATATTGTAGGCTACTAATGTTAAAAAATACAACTCTTGGAACGCTGCAAGAGCTTGGTGGATCCAAGTATGCGGAGTGGATATGCATGCCGTGCATGCTAGCATGGTGACGAAGAGTCCTACTGACAGTGAGATCATTTGGGAAAATCGAAGGCTGAACATAGCAAGCTCATCGAAGCTCTTCCTCCTGGCCAACAGACTCAGGGCCAATCTCCCATGATAATCATGATCCATTGAATCATCCGGTGCATGTTGATGTAGAGGTTCTCTTGTTGAACCATGAAGCACTTGGCAGGACACTCAGGGATGTTCTGTTGCGGTGCATTGGACCTGTGGGATGTTGTGAGCAGCCAAGGATATGACATCGAGGACATCTCCAGCGTCCGATGTTGGCCTTTCTCTTGGGGGGTGATGGTTGACCCAACACATGCCATGAAGCACAAGAAACTTGCCACCCAAATCCAGCCCACTTTCGGCCTCAGGAGTGTCGGCAATGCCCCATTGCAACTCTGAGAGCCTGCAAGGAATCTTAGGGTCTCAACATCTCAGGCAAAAACATTCAAAAACTATATACACTAAAAGACAGACACTTAGAATATGGAATCCAAATATTTCCGTTTCAATTTTTTTCAGGATCCATAGGAGCAGGTAGGAACAGGTGCAGATAGAATATGGAGGACAGGTTGGAACAGTATGATTCAACTCTTGAATTCTAACTGCATTCCTTTCATTGAAGGGGTGGTCTAAAAGGCATGAGGAGAAGAGAACGGCTGTAGTTTCTTATCGTTTCTGTTGAAAAGCCAGAATATGCTACAGGCAGG